ATTATTTCCCTAGTGAACTTTAAATCAGCTGGGGGACAGCCCCCCAAAGATCTTAAAGGGGAAATGGCATTATGATGTCATGCCAAATTGCAAACAGACAAGCAACTGCATAAATATTAATTTTCTCAGTGAGAAACTCTGTAGTCTACACAACGGTTCTGTATCAGCTTTTCTCATGCGCTTTAATGAACCAGGCATGTATTCATTTATTTGGGTATCTCCATTAAATCTCTGTCACTACCTAAGGGACATCTGTCTGATGTCCAATGAGCGGAATGCCATGAGACCTGCAGTTGTTACTATATCCTTAAAGATTATTATCCCCAGTGTCTACCAGTCTTGGGAATGGGGTGGCATAATATGCAGAAAGATAAATTCTGAGGCAGAGCATAGAATTTTACAACCTAAGTGTAATAGAATGTATTGTGCCATCAGCAAAGGCTACAGAGTTCTATGTGATTAAAATAAAAAAGGAGCCAAGAATATGCCTTTAAGTACCATTTTAGCTGTAATAATTTTTGTCTCTTAGCATTTATATTGGCCATCAGGAAAGAGACAGGCTGAAAGCTGTTCCATAATAATATGAATAATAATAATTAATACTGCTTCTCCCATTCTCCATTATGCTTTTATTTTCATTTTTTTTCTCCCAAAATAAAATATAAAAGTGTACAAGGTTCATATCAGTTTTCCGAGTAAACTGGAAATTAGTTCTGGAATTATGTTACAGAACATGCTGGTGAAGAGACCTTTCACCAGTAAATTCACCTTAGGAGGACATTAATGTCTATAGACAGGAGAAAGCTAAAGAAAGAAGAAAATCCCATAGGTTGTTGTCACTTTCCACTCAGCTATACCTAGTGTGCCCTTTTCAGAACTGCAAATCCAGTGAGGACAGGGAGGTAATTCAGCCCAAGGAAAATCCTTCTGTTTTCCCATCAACAATCTTTATTGGTTGCTTTCCTACCATAAAGATGAGTTTTGAAGGGAAGTTAGTGATGGCTGTCTACCTGTTATCCTCTGCACAGAGACAGAGAGAAATTGTTTTATGGACTGAGCCCAGCCTAGAAACTCTTTCATATTAATCCTCCTGGCTCTAAGCCTGACTTCTTCTGCCCCCAAACCACTGGTTACTTAGCATCTCTGCCTCAGTTTCCTCATCTATCAAATTGGAAATATTACTTGCCTACAAGAACCATGCCCATTTCCTATTAAAATTATTTCTTTAGGGATTAATTTTAAGGCTGGGAAAAGATGCTTCAGCCCAGCTCCAAATGATTGTATCTGCACTGGAGGGGAAGTGATATCCTCTGGTCTCAGTGTTAGATTTCTTCTCATTTAATATCTTAGAGCCAGAGTGAGCTGCTTGTAAACAAGATGGGGGAGGTGGCAGTGTCTTTGCTCCATTGTGCATCTACATAGGGGCCAGTGCAGGGGTTTGCTCTTCCTGAGCAAAGTGGGGATGAGATGGGTAACAGAAATCTTTGCTTTGTTCAGAAATTGTTCTTTACTCTGAATCAGTTAATTACTGAAGTGTAAATGTGGCTCATGTCCATCAGAAACCATAGGATTATAAAAAGTCCATATATGTGTGGAAGAGGGGTGCTGCAGGACAAAAACTGATCTGGGGAGGGTTTGGAATTGTTTGGGGAAAACGTTTTAAAGAAAGTGGGAAAGGGTATGAGCCCTTCTGAAGTTGGTGACTAGTTCATACGTGTTTGGTGATGCATTCATATGCCAGAAGGCTCCCCCTGAGTTTGGGGGGAACATCATACGCCTGCTGCAATTCTGAAGGTTTATTTAGACCACAGTTCTTTTTCACTTTTGTCACAGATTCTGGTTCTTCTTGTTCTCCACCCATTTCCCCACTGGCCCAGTTCCTCTTCTGAAGTATTCTTTTTCAGTTCAGCCACCTGCAGTCTGGTATTTCAGATTCCACATGTGCCTTCTGGTGTTCTGCAAGCAGGAAAATTATAGTGTATGTGAGAGGAGTCCAGGAATAACATTCCCCTAAATTAACACCAGTATTACTTTTTTCATATACTGATTTATTTTGTAATTAAACATTTGCAATTTACATGTATAGATTTATAAGTACATTGGTTACCTGACAAACTTATCTTTTTGCAGTGTTTGTAGCAGAGATGACTTCAAACAATATAGTTCAGATTCAGATGTAGATTCCAAATGCTACAGGTGTTTGGTTTGGTCCTCATAAAGAGAGGAATCATTTTCAAAATACGATTTAGAAATACCAGCTAGGATTTCAGACACCCCCCAAATTCAGTGGACATTTGGATCTGGGGTTCTATGGCTCTGAATAATTTTTTAGGCGGAAGAAAGGAAATGTCTGGAGCAGGTTCACCCCTGAATATACAGCATACACATACATGTCATTTTGTACAATATGGTGAATTCAAGTGGGCAAAGGTTTTTCTATTCAAAGAGGCTGTAAATCATCTTTGACAAGGATTGCTGTTACCTAACAGCAAGGAAATCCTCCTGTCCTTCCTCCTCCACCCTACGTAGCCCCCCTTCGATGTAAATGCTGCTTTTGGGCTAGATTGTGGTTTATGCTATGTTTAAAGCATCCTTTACTCTCCTGTGCTGGCTACCAGAATTGTCGTTAGCAGTGCAGGTGGGAAAGCAGCATTGCACGGTCAGTAGTCCCCTTCCCTCACATGTGTGTGGAGTTGGTGGGCAGGGATGGGAAGTTCTTGCTCCGATGCACCAGCCAGCACAGCTATGCCAGGTATATGGCTGGTACAGATTACTTCCCTTCTCCATGCACACACACAGCAAGCACCACCAAGTTCCCATCTTGTACCCAGTCTGCTCCTGAAACTGTGCAACTATGTGCTGCCCATTTATACAGGGCTTGTGACAAAGGTGTAATCTAGCCCTTTGTGGTTTTCTAAACAAAACATCCATTTGGGGGGTTATTTGTTTGTTTATTGGTCAAAATTTTGAATGAGATTTTTCCAGTCTTTAAAACCCCTCTTAGATGTCAGTAAATTCATTGTTGGTGACTTTATTTGTTACAAGCTCATGTGGTATAAATGTACTCAGGGCCGGTGCAAGGAAGTTTCGCGCCCTAGGTGAAACTTCCACCTTGCGCCCGCCCCCCCCCCAGCCCTGCGGCAGCTCCCCGCCCCCCCCCTCCTGCCCTGAGCCCTCCCCGGCAGCTCCCCCCCTGCCCTGAGGCACTCCCCCCGTGGCAGCTTCCCCCCCAGGGAGCCGTGCGGGAGCTCCCCACCCCAGTTCACCTCTGCTCTGCTTCCTCCCCGAGCATGCCGCCTCCGCTCTAATTCTCCTCCCCTCCCAGGCTTGTGGCGCCAAACAGCTGATTGGCACTGCAAGCCTGGGAGGCAGGAGAAGTGGAGCGGCGACCACGCGCTCGGGGAGGAATGCTGTAAAAAACAATTGGGGGCACCGCTTTTTGGTGCCTCCAAATCTTGGCACCCTGGGCAACTGCCTAGTTCGCCTTAATGGTAGCACCGGCTCTGAATGTACTGTGTTCAGATTATATAAGTTCCATATTGAAGCGGACTGAGTTAGTGTTGTTAGTAATGTACCAAAGGGAACAGAATACATTTTCATCATTTGTTTCTCTTCCTTTTCAGAGGTGTACATGGTCATTTCAATGGTAAGCGCCCGTGGGCTTTTGGAGATGAGTGCATCGTGGAGCTTATGGCTGATATTGTGGGTATGTGTGAGCCAGAGAGAGAACTGTTTTTGAAAAAAAAGTAATTTGTTGTCTTGTGGTGGAGAACCCAGAAACTTTACATCCAAAACTTAATTCTCAGCACTTTGTTTCACAGAAGTCTTCCTGTCTGCTCAGTACATGGAGTACCACTTATTTTAAGGTCTATAGGTGGTTTAGGAGATGAATGTGGATGATAATGTATGACCCTGTGTATATCTTGAAACTAATTGCAGTGAGGGCTTGTGGGATCATCATAAACCACTTGGTCTTCTATATGAAGCCAAAGCCCTTAAAGGGCAGTGAACACACTTCATTTCTCTTTTAAAGAGAGAGTCGGAGTGAAACAATGATAATTCCTTTGGTTTTAAAGTAAATGATTGTTGTCTAGATGTTTCCTGCTTTTCCTCCTTGTCTTGCCTACATGCTCAGGGTCCAACTGATTGCCATATTTGGGATGGGCAAGAAATTTCCTAGGGTTGATTGGCAGAGACTCTTGGGGTTTTTTTTCAACTTCCTCTGCAGCATGGGTCATGGGTCACTTGCTGGTTTAAACTAGAGTAAATGGTGGATTCTCTGTAACTTTAAGTCTTTTAAATCAGGATTTGAAGACTTCAGTAACTCATCTTATGGGTCTATTTCAGGAGTGGGTGGGTAAGGTTCAGTGGGCAGCGATGTGCAGGAGTTCAGACTAGATGATCATGATGGTCCCTTCTGGCCTTACAGTCTAGGACTCTGTGATCTGGTATGAAATCCTGCCCCATGTTAAGAGTTTATCTCATCAGCATGGGGGCAGAACCAGCTGCCAAAAAAGAAAAGATTTGACTGGCACCTCTTGTGAGCACCAATCCACTCATTGCACCCCTCTAAAGAATCTGGCAGGCTGAACAATGAATACACCTGGTTATTCTAGAGTTAGTGTGGTGGTAGCCATGTTGGTGCCTGACTACTAAAAAGACAAGGTGAATGAGGTAATATCTTTTATTGTATTAACTTTCTGATGGTGAAAGACAAGCTTTCAAGCTATACAGAGCTCTTCTTCAGGTCTGGCAATGTTACTCAAAGTCATAGCTAAATATGAAGTGGAACAGATTTTTTAGCATAAGTAGTTAACACATGTTCTAAGAGACCACTCATGATGAATTGTCCCATCAATACCTTTGCAGTCATAGGACAAAGCAATCAATACAATGATAAAGTGTGTGGTTTCATCCACTGTGGGGTGTCCAATGAGATGATTCTTTTTTCTGATGACTGTCGGTGTGGACACGGTAGTTGTGGTAATGTGGTCATTGTTGTGAAAGAATTCTTTGAGGTGGAGTCAGCAAAAGAATTCTTCTAATTCTCCATGTTAGTTTGGTATCAGGTTCTGGAGCAAAAGTTCAGTTCCTTGGAGATCAAAGATAATTCAACTACGGTTAAGTGTAGTCTTGATAAATTGATTATATGGGACGTCGTTTGGAGTCGATCAAGCACTATGCTCTGGAATGAACTGGCTCAGAAAAATAGGACAAAAACACCATATCAAACATGGATGAATACTTTTCACAAAATGATCACTCAATATCTGCCCTTTTGGTCTTCAAAGGAAACCTATGCAACACCTTTAAAAGTTTAGCCTTGGAGCTTAAATTTTTAATTTTGCTAGACACTAAAAATAATGGTCTGAATAAAGACACTAGATTTATGGCTTATTGCAACACCCTGTAACCCACTAACCCTCCCTTTTTTGTCCTATGATTGCAAAGGTGTTAAGAGGCCACTTCATTTTGAATGTCTCTTAGCCCTGGTCTACGCTGGGGGGAGGGGGGTGTCGACCTAAGATATGCCGACTTCAGCTACGTGAATAGCGTAGCTGAAGTCGGCGTATCTTAGGTCGACCTATCTGGCCATGAGGACGGTGGCGAGTCGACCGCTGCCACTCCCCCATCGACTCCACTTCCGCCTTTTGCAAGCTGGAGTTCCGGAGTCGATGGGGAGCATGTTTGGGGATCGATTTATCTGTGTCTAGATGAGACGCGATAAATCGATCCCCAATAGATCGATCCCTACCTGCCGATCCGGTGGGTAGTGAAGACCTGCCCTTAGAATGTGTGTTAGCTACTTATGCTAAACAATCTGTTTCATCTTGTATTTATATGACACTGAGTAACTTTCCCAGACCTGAAGAAGACTGTGTAGCTCAAAAGCTTTTATTTTGCCAACAGAAGTTGGTTCAATAAAAGATATTACATCGCTTATCTTGTGTCTCTAATATCCTAGAGGTATAAAAAGCAGCCATAGAATGTGCTCCTGGAAGCTCAGCAGGCCTACATACAAATGGATTGGGTTTGAGTATGAATTTCCCCTAGTAGTTCCTCTCCAGAGCCACAGATAAGTGCTGACATAGATTTTCCACCCTTGCTACCTTCCAAACTGCTCTGAGGGGAAAAGAAATGATGTAGGCAGTGTCTCCTCTTGTCCCTTTCTCTATACAAAGATCACAGAGTTTGCCTAGAGTAAGAAAATAAATTGAGATTAGGTTGGAGTTAGCTAGCACTTTTTACCCCAGTTTAGCAAATTGAGGCCAATCCTCAACCTCAACCCACTAAATTGAGGTGTAAGGTGTTAACCTGTGTCTACACTAGGGAAAAGTCAAGGTTAGATCAGATTAATGCATGTTAGCTAAACCCAGTGTAACCTAGAACTCTTTTCTTACTGTAGAGAATCACATGGAGTGGGAAATGCAGGATCCATACTATGGCCTGAAGGGAAGAATAGTAGAACTCTGGGGGGATTGGTGAGAATGCCTGGAAAAAGTTAGAGACTGCTGACCATCCTATTTGACTGTTCCTCATAAAAGTTCATCTTACAATATTTAAACCTGGTGAAAGAAAGTTTTCATTATTTTATTTTATGAACTCATTTACTTCTAGCAGTAATGAGGGAGAAAATATTTGGTAACTACCTGGTTGTTAAGCAAAGCTCCCAGCCAGCTAGGGTTCTGGCAATGTTTACTAGGCTTGAGATAATGGGAGGAAATGTAATCATGGGCTCTGTCTTAAAAGGAAAATCACAGGCAGCCATATTTGTTTGGGTTTTTTGTTTAATTTCCCTCAAACACTTGTGCAGCTGGATTTCATTCACGTGAATGTTTGAAGAAGAGTTTTTATTTGTAAGACTACAGGTGTCCATTTCTGTGCAAACAAGTATATTCACTTTCCCAGCAAAATATTATAAAAAAGATTACATTTATAAAAATCACAATGTATTCATGGGAAAGTCACAAAAATATAAACAAAACCCAAGTCTCATCAGCTGTTCAGCGTGAATAGTGCAAACAGCTTTAATTGTTTTTCTGTCTCGGATCTAACATTGGTACACATCAAGCATACTATGTAGAACTGCCTAAGAGATACAATAATATTTCTCTTTGTAGAGGTGGGTTTTGCAATTAGCACTGAATACAGAGAAGTTAGTGGGCATTCTTATTTCATCTGGCAGTGAGTTCCATAGTTCTGATCCAGGTCCTGTGAATGATCTGTCTCCCACAGTCACAAGTTTCTTCCCACTGGTCAACATTTACTGTTCTGGTGCTGTGTAGATGTTATGGGAGGTTGTGTTCAAGGAGAGAAATGTAGCTAGCACCAATTCCATTCAGGGCTTTGAAAGTCAGGACAGAGACCTTGAACAGCACTTGAACTGCACTTCTGGGTGCTATGGCCACTTTGTGCCACCTACAAGGGGACAACACAGCCCCCTGCACAGAACAACCCTCAGCTACCCAGTGCAGAGATGCTTTGCAATTTCTGCGCTGCATCCACATAAGCTCTGGCATAAGAGGCACTCCAGGGGTAGACTGAAGTGGGCGCACACATAGTCAAGGCAGACCTGCACCCTGATTTTTCACCTGCCACAAGCTCTGTATGAGTAATGGCTACAGGAGGTGCAAGTTACAGTAGCCCTGGTTCTGCGCTAGCCTTTATTTGTTGCTTGTATTACGGTAGAACCTAAGAGCCCTAGTCCTAGACCTCAACTATATTAGGCACTGTACAAACACAGAACAAAAGTCCCTGCCCCAAAGAGTTTACAATCTAAGTATAAGACAAGAGACAACAAATGGATACTGACAGTCCAACAGGAGTATAAAGAAACAACGAGACAGTATTAGCCCGCATGTTGGATTGCGGTCTCAGTGCACCAGCCTGTACCTTGTCCCCCAACAGCACACAATAGGAGAGGTACATGCATCCTCTACTCAGACCGAGTGCTAGCACTGATGCAGGGATGAATCTAGCTGCAAATGTTAAGTGCCAGTCAGAAAGTAGGGAATTGGAGTGATGTGTTCTATGTTGCAGATCTGTCAGACTTCTGCATTCTGTATTTCACCATAAAAACAGTGTATTTTAAAATACTAGTTTGAAGAAAATTGTTGAGTAGGAAATTTAAATCTTTGTGTAGCCTCCATCTCATTTCTGCTGTTGTCAATCTCCCTGCTCACCCCTTTTCTTTTAGAGCACTCATAAAACTGTTATAGTATATCTTATAAACATTTCTTCCAGTCTTTCACCAGAGTCCAAATGTTTTTAAGTTGTTACACCTTTATCCATTTTAAGCAGCGTGAACCATGAATAAAGGTCAACACACTATTAACCTGCATTTGTTGTGTTTTCAGTTCTTCAGTGGGCAGGATTCTGTAGCCCTGTTGCATCCTGTGGCAGTTAAGGTTCATTATGTACCCTTGTTCTCTCTTTTCCCCCCAAGGGTTATATAACTGAGCTGTAAAATGTGGTCTGAGTTGGAATTTGGCATTAAGATAATCAGCCCAGCAGGATTTTATTTGTGGGAAATTTCCTTAGAACTAGTTTGCAGAATCTAAATGATTATTTCTTTGAAAAGGAGCAAATTAAGATAATAAGAACTTCCCCAAATAATGGATGAATCGTCAACGATCTAGACTGGTAATGTGTCCATAATATGGACTGATTATTTCAGGCTCTTTTTTTCTTACGTAACAGTGAAAAAGTGAAGCAAATAAATATGAACAACACTGTATTAAAATGTTCTCCTCCCATGTGGTATTTACAATTAAGCTTTCTCCCCAGCAACATGCAATGCTAAGTATATGAGTGTGTGCCAAGGAGAGAGGAAGGCTGAATTCTGAATTTTTCCTTTAGTAGGTTTAATGTGAAGACATAAACAGAATTTTAACACCGTTTGGTAGTGAATATTTACCATATTATAGAGGAGGAAGAATTGTCATAGTTTATTCTGAGAAGCAGTAAGTATATGTTGTCTAGTGGGATTTATTCAGGAATGGACTAAAGGCTGCAAAGATTTTCTTTTGTCCATTTAAAGGTTTATAGCTCTATAACCCCTTGCTTATTAAATGTGCACACATTTTCTTTTAAAATGAAGGTTACAATGGTAAATATATTGTGAAATGCAGAGTCAAGGTCACTAGACGCCAAAATTCTTTTCTTTTCTTAAGCCAAATGGCATAACAGGGAAACTGTAATCTTGGCTTTTCCTACTATACTTTATTAAAACATTACAATCTTGGCAGGATCACCTTCTGATGGAATCAGACTAACTGTATTGCTGTCGTTGTACAATGTGCTCAGGCAGGTCTCTGTTGAGAAAAGACTGAGCACTGAGCAGATTGGTAGTGACTTTGAGTGATAAACTGTTTTCAGGATTGGGGCATTTAGCCTTTTCCAATCATTGCACAAAATGCTTTTTACTTATTCTGGTGAGAACCAGACTCCTGTTGGCAGGGGGGCTGGAATGATTTTTATAGTGGGGGTGCTGAGGGCTATTGAACCAAACTGTAAACCCTGTATATAATGGAAACCACAACAAACCACGGGGTGTAGCAGCACCTCCCACACCCTTGGTTCCATCACCTATGCCTGTTGCAGTCACAGAGGTGGAGGGGGTGGAAAAAACTGGCAGTGATTGCCTAACACAATCAGAATTATTTCCAATGTTGTAGCAAGGATGGTGTTTTACAAACACTGCTTCCTTTCATTGGAGAAAAGATTTATCAAGCAGAATATATAGGGGGTTATTCTGTCTCAGTGATATGATACAAAGTTAGGAGATAGCAATGGCAAATATAGTTTTGTCTCTTGAATGCTGAGTCTTTGAGTATAGTAATAGGTTAATTGGATCATACAAGGGTTGTTTCTTAAATGCAATGCAGGTTATAAAGGATTCCAATAGCTTGGATGAGGCTTGTTTTTTATGTCCATGAAATTCAATACAAGAAAGCTTTAAATTTTAAAATAAATAAATTACAAGAGACCAAGACTTATGTGATAAATACAGTGTCATATTTAATTTGGGATGTTGGCATGCAGTCAACCATTCTCGTTCATGCGTTGAACAGTACAACAAGGCACAGGCTGAGAAAAGATAGTTCTAGCTCCACTGTGGCCCTAGTTAGAAGGGGTTCTGTGTGCTAATGGAGATGGGGAGGTAGGGGCAGGGGACCCATCACTTCATGGTGACACCCTTTTTTCATCCCCCATGTTTCTATATAGAAATTAAGGATGCAATTAATACAGCTCTGAACTGCACTAACTCCCTCTGGTTCCCTTCTGCAGCTGCAGTTGAACAGCCATGTAGCAGCTTGGCACCTGCAGGAGCATGCTGCCAAGAGGAAAAAAAGGGAAGTAGAGAAGTGTAAGTTGGCTGGGGGTGGAGTAGTTTCGTACCTATAGATGACCAGGTTTGATGTGCTCGTCGCCAACAAACTTCACAGTGCTTCAAACCTCTGCCCACCGAGTCTGGAAAGTCCATGTGAGGAATTCTTCAGGAGATCTCCTGACTCTTTAGAATCTTGCCACAGTTTCCTCCCTCTCATACAATGGCAGCTTGAATGACACACAAAAGGAGCAACTGAAGACCTATTTATATTATAAACTCTTCAGGGCAGGGATCATCTAATACTGTGCTTGTACTCTGGCTAGCACAATGGGTTCCCACTCTTGATTTGGTCCTTAGGCACTACTGTAATAATTATGATTGATTAATAACAACAACAATAAATCATCCTAGACAGCATAGTGCTTGGCCGTTCATCCAGTAGTAGCAAATAAGGCCTACTGCAGGTATGTGATCCCTTATACAGAGGTTTTGGGGCAGTAAATTCATGTCGTTTCCAAACCCACTGGCCACGCACCATTCTACTTCAGGCCCATTCACAAGTACTATATTTTTCCTATACCAGTGCAGTGACAATCCCAACAGAACAGTTCTCTGGAGCCCAACGGATGGCGGAATCATGGTGCAGGGTCCTTCTCATCTGCTTCTCCTCTTTGTGTATGTGTTCACTCTCCCATTCAAGCATTAGTTCTCTCTTGTTCTTGTATGGCTTCTCCTCAAGCCTACCCCACATCTGTAGAGATTATCAGGCAACTCAGACAAGCCCATCTTCCAGCAAAAGAGACTTGGCAAAGTGCTAATTCATCTCTAGGGTGTACAGATGGCTGTAATTCATTGCAACAAAAAGACATGAAACCAAAGCCAAGAATTGGTAATTTTTCATGTTTAAGCTCTGCCCTGCATAACATATAGCCCCTCATCCTGCCTAAAACCTCCACAGCAGCTGATAGGAGTTTGAGAATTGGTTAATAAATAAGCAGTTAGAACAATATTGGAAAAATCCATTAGTTGTGCCTGAGGTTCCTATTAGCCTCCATATATCTATATAGTTATCTCAGAGCTATGTACTCAAAGCTGAATCCAAAAGCTTGACTGTGGATAATAATTATATTTTGCAAAAATCTTTTTTATTTTTATTAAGGATGCATTTTAGCTTGGCATTATATACTAACCACTTAAAAATAGATGATTTTCCTTAATATATATTTTTGTCTAGAGATATTTGTTTAGAGATGTACTTATGGCAAACATACACTGTTGTTGAATTTGGCTAAGGTATTAATGATAACAATAAATCAACTGGTGGTTTGCTGGGAAATGAAGCTACTTCATTATCTCTTAATGGCTATATCAAACCTGAAAAATACATATTTTTTGTCAACTGATCCAGTGAGTCAGACAGGAGAACTTTTTATTTCAGTAGGCTGACACATCAAACATTCCTTCTAGTCTTTTGAGAAACATTGACTGAAAACCGTGCCTTTGCTTTTCACATCATTTTACCAGACTTTACATGAGGTGAAAATAGAGAAGCTTCTGTGTTATTACTTTTCAGGTGCTCGAAAGGAAGAAGTAGCCTTAATGAATGGCCTAACTGTTAATCTGCATCTCCAGATGGTAAATTCATTCTTTTTTTCCCCTCCAATATTTAGTAAATTTGATATTGTCAAATTAACTTTAGTCCTTATATCTTTATTTTAAAAGATTTTAACTCTTCATTTATGTTAATTAAAATATTTTATGGAGGTTCCTACAAGAAAGCACAGGACAATGATCTCGACGCCTTTTTTAAAAGACTTGAGGATCTTTCTGAGTGCTCTGACCTATGTATTGGTATATACAGTACCTTGCTCAGCCTGTAGGAAACACAAAGCAGCAAAGCTTTTTTTCACAAGCGTTTTAAGGACAAGTCTGATCTTTTCTCATGTACACTATAAAATAATGACTAAAGAGCATTCAAGACTCTTGTTCAGGAGATATGTGTGCAAATACCTATTATTTGTGTTTAGGGTTTCCACACACATCTCCAGAGTGACGTTTTGATAGCTGCTCTTAGATTCCTCTCAAAACATCAGAGGTCAAGAAGAAGATTCTCATCTGAGAAACTGAGGTGTTAATAATTTCCCTGCAATTTAAGTTAAAAAAAACATGGTAGATGGGCTCATCATGTGAAGGACTATAGTATATAAATATAACTAGGGCCCTACTAAATTCACAGTCCATTTTGGTCAATTTCACAGTCATAGGATTTTTAAGATAGTAAAGTTCATGATTTCAGCTATTTAAATCTGAAATTTCATGGTGTAATTGTCAGAGTCCTGACTCGAAAAGGAGTTGTGGGGGAGAGGGTTGCAATGATATTGTAGGGGAGTTATGGTACTGGTACCCTTACTTCTGCACTGCTGCTGTGGGCAGTGCTGCCTTCAGAACTGGGCAGGTGGAGAGTAGTCGCTACTGGCCAGGAGCCCAGCTCTGAAGGCAGAGTCACCGCCAGCAGCAGCACAGAATTAAGGATGGCATGGTATGGTATTGCCACCCTTACTTCTGCAGTGCTGCCTACAGTGCTGGGCCCTCATTAAGCAGCCGCTACTCTCTGACCACCCAGCTTTGAAGGCAGCAGCGCAGGAGTAAGGTTGGCCTGGTATGGTATTGCCATCCTTACTTCTGCGCTGCTGCTGGCAGGGCGCTGCCTTCGTAACTGGGCGCCTGGCCAGCAACCGCCGCTCTCCAACTGCCCAGCTCTGAAGGCAGCACAGATGTAAGGGTGACCCTCCTGCAGCTCCCTTTTGGGTTAGGACCCCCAATTTGAGAAACTCTGGTCTCCCCCTGAAATGTGTAAATGGGTTAAAGCAGACAAAAGACCAGATTTCATGGGGGAAGACCAGATTTCATGGTCTGTGACTCATTTTTCATGGCTGTCAATTTGGTAGGGCCCTAAATATAATACCTGGTAAATAATCTTTTCACTGGTCAGTATGGAATTATTAAACTGGCTTCATTAGGCTCAGATCACTTCACAGCCCCCCAAGTTCTGTGCACAGTCCCAGAGCTCCCACTTTTTCTGACAGTTTGGATCTCACACTACGTGAGGGGGTAGAAAGTGGATGGGCTATAGTTAGTGTGTGTGGCTACAGTCAGAGCATAAGTAGGTAAATGACATTCAGCTTGGGTCTGTATTAGACATTTTGTGGAGCATCACCTTGGAAGTCTCTCTGTCAGGGAGATGCAGGCAATGCAGTGATCCAGAGCTGGTACACAGACAATCTCTGCACAAATGGCCTAGGTTTCTGCTGATTGTCTAGGTTTGGAGGTAGGCCCTACAACCTTCATCACAGGAGGATGGCAGCAAACACCACCCCCATCACCAGAGGATGATATGGGAACTTTGCGGAAAGCTCTGCACTCCCTCTGCAGGCTTTTCTACAGAAGGGAATAATCTGGATCTTGGTGATTCGAGCAGGGGGATGGAAAATCATGATTACTATGTTTTATTTCTGTCTCTGCCAATAATTTGCTTGTATGACCTTGGCCAAATCATGTGGGGTGTAATTCTGGCCTCACTGAAGTCGGTGAGAATTTTGCCATTATCTTAAAAAAGATGGGGATTTCACCCTTAAACTCCCCGTGGCCATACTTACAAATCTGTAAAATGGGTACAATGTTATAAAAGTTTTCTACATCAAAGAGTATTGTAAAGACTAAATATTTTTCAAGTGCTCTAGGATTATTTTGACATGCTCTACATAAATGCAAATTGTTTGTATTTTTCTTAAATTATACATGGGGATCAATTCTTTAGTCTCGGCTTAGATAAGTGTTTCAACATATCATTTTTTTTTAACAGTTATCTTTTTTTAGCCCTACTCCAAGTCGTTACAAAATTCTTCTAGAAGCCAAAGCCTTTCCCTCCGACCATGTAAGAAATTCATATTTCACCATATTTGTATTATTAATCATATTTTGGAAAGAGTATCAGTAGCCTGATTTGAATATTTATTAGCTAATCTGGTCCAAGTACCATTACAATAAAAATAAAAACTGTCAGATGCTTTTGAGCTCAGCATGTTTTACAGATTGTAGTTTTATTCCTTTTGTTCAAATAAAAAATGCTACAAGATGAAAAGATTGAATGGGTACATTGATTTATTAGTCTTTTTAAAGACATTGAACAAACTGCTGGCCTAAATCAACTGAAGTTGTAGCTGTTTTATTAATTCATGTTGCTGTTTTACTTTATGGAAACCAAATCAATAGAAAACTCACAACATTAACACTTGTATATCCCCAGACAGAGATGGAAATACTTGTTTTTTAGCACTTTAAATTACTAGTTCAAACATAATTTGTGTGCTATGAAATAGGAGACAATCGTTCGTGCGTCACAGCTTACAGCAAATTAATCTTCGAGTTTGTGGCCCAGTGCTACTTAATCATCAACTCAGTAAACTTTTGGAAATTGATAAGAAATTTTATCTTTAAGGCACAATAAAATGACACCAAATACCACTCATAGGATTATTTGTAATAAAGACAGTTACACAGATGCATGAAGTTCAGATTGCCTTTATTCTAGGCTACAGAGCTCAACAGTACATTTGCCTTTGTTCATTTTAACTTCATTTGTGCACACTCTGTGCCCTCTATTTATGTTCCTTTGACACCCCAATAATAAGACTGTACAACTGCCCTCACCTCAGACCACTGTACTATAATTAACTATCTATATCACAATATTTCTGTTTGACTATATTTGACATTACCCCCAAATATTATCAATACAGTATCTTTAGTGATAAAACAATTGGCTGAGATATTCAAAGCTGTCTTGGAGATATAGACATTGGGTGGAATTATTAGTAGTGCCTATGAGCCCTAGTCATGGACTAGAACCCCATTGTGTGTGTTAGATGCTGTTCAATCACAGAACGAAAGACAGTTCCTACTTCAAAGAGCCTTGGCTAACTGAAGTCAATAGGAGTTTTGACCCATTGAATTTAATGGGGCCAGGATTTCACCCACTAATTTAATGAAAGATGCGTGTGTAGAAATCTCAGCCGTTTCTTTTAAAATCTCTGTTTTGCTAAATTGTACTACGTTAAATTCTTTTCCAGTATGCTGTTGAGTCTCAGCTTCAGCTTCATGGACTTGATGTGGAGAAATGCATGCTCATGATACAGCCACGCAAGGTTTGAGGGATATAAATGTCAGAACGCTGCTCTCCTTGTTAACATTGGCTATATATGCGTAGTTAGCATTAGCTATATATGTGTGTAGTTAGTACAAGAATGGAGGTGTTGTCCCCCAAATTCTTTAGCATCTGCTGTCATTTGTTATGCATATGCATTTATTCTATTTCTATTCATGTGCCTAGAATTTTCAGATAGACTTATCAATGGCCACTAATTGTCTTTTTTGTTGCTCTCCATACATTTCTAACTTTAAGGACCAATATTAGCTTTGTTGTCTGACTTAAATTGCTGGACTTATCTCTTAGGAAGAAAATAATCTTTCAAAACAGTTACTTTATAGTACATTTTCTGATTGCCATAACACAATAGGCTCCTCAGAGAACGCAAAATTCAGAAGCATCAGCATGTATCTTCCTTATAGTTTTCTGTCTTAAAAGATTGCCATAAAGACAACATACTGTATCTTTATTATCACAACCTAAGGAAAGGGCCTGCTTCAAGAAATATTTAATTCAGATTATTTAGAGAGATTGCATTACCATCCCTTCTCAACATTAAGAACTTTGCCACCTAACTATAGTATGGATGATGAACATTGGATTCTAAAATCTGAGTAATCTTGTGAGGAGAGAGAGCCTACTCCTGAATCCTTGATAGATGTTCAAAGATTGTTAAGATAATAGCAGTTACTTCCAATTTAGCAAATTTTACCCAAGCTCTTTGCAGTAGCAAATTTAATTTCATTCTGAGTTTTCACTGCCTAGGTGATCCCTAGATAGTGGTGTTTTTACATGCTACTTTGTGGGAAGAAATGTGGGGGGGAAGGAGGCGGAAAATCTTACTACAAAGAATAAAAATTAGATTTCTCTGTTGAAATTTCTTTATATGTAATCACTTCAGGTTTGGGATTTTTTTTGTACTTCTGATTATGTCAGACTTACCATTTTTTGAAATATAAATATGGCAGATTTAGAATAGCTTCCTGCAGGAAACAAAATGTACTGAAAAGTAAGGGTGAGAGCTTATAGACAGCTTTTAAGACTTTTGGGTATCACGATTTTCAAATGCCACATAAAAATCATTATGTATTCTGTTTGCACCAAGATCTTTTTATATTGTAAACTAAAACTGTCTGAAATATTGAGAGGAGTGAAGCACATTGGAAAGCAAAACAAATGTTTTTAAGAATCTACCACCTAGAAAATAAGTTGCTAATGATTTTTCATTTTTTGAAGTAACCTACTCAAAGGCTATTTCCTGTCTCTATCTTTGTAGATCATTGCTGTGCTAGGATACGCTTTTGATCTCCCTATGCAGGCAGCACAGCACATAGTAAAATATAGATTGTGAAATAAGAAATGACAGTTTCATTACTGCCAGGGTAGATGTAAAACATGTGCTTTAACTTTATTTTAGGGGGAGGAGACCTTGAGAATTGAAGATATCCTTGACATAATTGAGAAGGAAGGGGACTCTGTTGCTGTAATTTTGCTGAGTGGAGTGCAGTACTACACAGGACAGCTGTTTGACATCCCCAGAATAACAAAGGCTGGCCAAGAAAAGGTAGAATTGTTTCAAGACTACTTCTCTAAAATCAGTTTAAAATAATCCTTCCCCCTCCCCACCCCCATGAACTGGACAGGTATGTAACATATAGGGGGTCTATCTAAATCACTCTAAAGATTTATAGAAAGTCATAATCGTATTCTTGCATTTCCCATAGAAATCTTATAGGGTGACTTAAAAAAAATCTACAAAAAGGCTATTATTCTTTATTAAATTCTGCAGGACTCTTCCTTAAGAGTTCTGAATGGGGAAGAAAATGATCATCTCAAACCTTAAAACCTACAGCACTGTGCATTAGACTTCTATATTTAAACAGAATTTAGCTATGTTCTCTTTCTTCTCACCCACTCACTGGCAGCTGCTATCACAGCGTTTTGCCTCCAGTCAGTCAGGCAAGGTGAGTTCCTTGTGGAGCTGACAGCTTCTGACTCAGCTGATCAGGTAGCAGGAGACAGGCAGTATACTGAGTATATCACCTTCATGAGATGACTGGTTTTCAATACAATGACTCAGACTTGGAAACTTGCAGCCAGTGTACTAGAGACTTACTGTGAATTCTTTTAACCATCTTGATTGCCTCTGGAATGCAGGAGAAGGTAGAGTCTTAATTAAGTTTTCTTATCAACAAGAGATCGGCAGACTTATCAGGAGGCACATTTTTATTGGATATATCTTATCTGACCTAAGATACTCAAGGAATTAACATACTGGATGTTACTGGATTCCTACAAACCTGCAGTGTAGCTGTATCTGAACAGTTAACCCTTTTGAGGCTTCAGTCCTGATCATACCAGGGCTTCCTTTTGTTGTTATACCTTCTGTTTCTCCTCTGCTGAGCCCCTTGGGCACAAATGCAGGTCCATGAGTTAGCTACAGTGACCATGGGATACAAACATTGAGTGCACCCACTGAGCAATCTAATTTTTTTAAATGCAACATAAAGCTGCTTTCCCTTGTGCCAGAAACTGTAAGGGAGGACAGGCAATGGCAACTGCATCTGCCCCTTGTCAGGCTTAAAGCTGGCATTGCACCTCCTTGCACTGGCTTGGGTGAATTTAGGTCCGCACATTTTAGAGCCACATAGATCTAGTATTTATGTTTTTATACCATCTTCCTTGAGGATCACCTAGTCCCTTGCTAACTCTAATGAATCAAGCCTCACAACACTGTCTTTTGATTAAAGGGAAGGATAGTCTGATAGAAAGAGGATGTAGCCAAATGCTAGTATACTGTATCAGTTAATAAAAGAAGGTTATACTGGGGGTGATGAAAGCATTCACTCACAGGAAAGCTGGAGTTAAGTGCATCAGGCCCTATGTGTTTAGGTATGTATGTGTTTAACTGTTGCATATTTTCAATATTAGGAAAATTAGTCATACATTCTGTACTATGTTTAAGCTTTTCTGGGATTGGTATCTCAGTGTTATCTGAGGCAACTTCTGGTTGGTGACTAGAGAAGAAGTAAACTCCATAGAGTAGGCAAAGCAAGGTGAAGGTGACTCTGCCTGTAATGGGTCTTAGACACAGGAAAAACTATAGTCCTCATCTCAGAATGAAAAAAGTTCTTGAGGGCATTGTGGGTGCTCTCTGACCTTGGCAAGTCATGTAACCTCTGTCCATGTTGCCCATCTCTTAATTGAACAGCAATTTACCTAGCTCGTAGGGGTATTTACAAGCGTTAGGATGAAATCCTGTCCCTTCATAAGGTCAGAATTTCACCCTT